CTTGACACCGTGTTGACACACGTCACAGTACATAAGCCCATCACTTTATCTATCAGACTGATACTTTCCAAGCAGTTTCCTCAATCCTCCTGAAGTCGCCTCTACCTCTACGTCCGCCTGGCATAGCCAACACCTGCAGGTTGAATGTCCAACTCAACACTGCTTACTTCAATCTTTTTATCTCTAATCTATGTTTAAAAGTCTCTCATTGTGTCCACGTGAAGAGAGGGGACAGGAAAGCAAACAATGTGGACGGCAGCAACAGCACAAACAGGAAGAGGAGGCGAGGTGATTAGGAAGTCAAAGAAGCACACACTGTGTGATGAATAATCGCTAGGACTGGCGGGCAAGTTGGCTGGTCGGCGCGCTAACATGAGTGTGACTAAACAGAAGGGCTTTGAGTGCGGCGAAGATCTAAAGAGCCACCACCACTGCTGCCGCCGCCGCCACCGCCGCCACTTTGTAAGGCAGGTGTTTATGGCACCAATGTGACCTTTCAAAATTTGCCTCCCAATCGGTTGCAGATTTTGCACGTAACCTTTATGTCTCTCCTCTTCCATCCACCTATCAGCCGCCGCTAGGTGAGACGAAATACAATAGATGAAAGACTTGAAATAGTGGATGTGACTTTGATCGCGGCATCCCTTTGCCTTTAGTGGTGGATCAGAGGCAATAATGCAACGCCTCACGTCTGACACTTTGTTGATCCAAAGAGCCGCCCATGTGAGATCACTTGCTGCCTTGTTTGTCAAAACAAACCAACTTATTTGATTTGACGTGCCTCCTGATTGGTGATAATCCCCTTTTTTTGCCAAAAGAAACATGTGGAAATGGAGAGATCTACTTTAAAATGCTTCAATTTTTCTCCCTTGCTAAAAAAACAAATTTACGCATGTAAACATAAAGGCAACCATTTGCTTGTGCTCTTCATGATGTCAATGGGGTGAAATTTGGTTTGGAAGTGTAAGTAGCGCATAAAGCGAAACAATTTGTTTATCCCCACACAAAGGGTGGTTCAATCAAGAGTGACTGATAAGACGAACACTTTGAGAGGAATTCAGCACTCAATGACTCTAGTCCCTCAGCCGCCTTTTAAGACTGATTCTGACACTAAATGAATCAGTTCCTATTCCACATACTAGCTAAACTTTGATTGTGTTGATAAAATATTAGAGAGTTATGGCGAGGTGGGTCACATCACCAACCTTTGGACCTTACGATACCGTTGGCAGAAGAGGCTTTGTGAGATGTGGAGGTGGCTCCTAGTCCCATTCTTGGGGTTTGCCGCGCCTTGTTAGGCGAGGTGTCCTCAGTCCCCCTTTCGCTATCACCCGAAACCTCTCTTTCTACCGTTGGTGCCGATCCAACTCCCAACTCCGACCCATCCGCATCGGCTGTTGTCGCAGCATTGCACCCTTCTTTGGGCTGTAAGCAGCCACACATCTTCACGTAGGCCAGCTTGTGACAGTGCATAGCAAGCGACTGCATCAGCTGACTCAGGTGAATCAGCTCGTTATCGAGGAGGTGGGTGTTGGCAGGGGAGGCCAGAAAGGCCGCTGCCGCCACCTGCGCTAGCCCCGTGGCGGTGCCGGCGGCAGCAGTGGAGGCAGCCGCGGTGGTAGTAGTGGGGGGAAGGGGTTGGCTAGCACTTCCAGGATTGCTGACATTGGGGTCGAAGAGAGGCCAGGGGTTCATCAACAGTGCCTTGTGTTCTTCCGCCTCCTGAGTAGGATTGATAAAGGTCATGCCGAGAGCATTAACCAAATCTGCTCATTACACTTCCTCCCTTCCTACCGCGGTTAGGGACAATCAAATCAAATTTGTTGGAATTTACAGTTGATACTAGAGTAGGGTAAGAAAATAAGATCTTTGTGAAATTAATAGGCAGTCATCCTGATATGATGAAGTGGTGGTGACGAAGGCAAAAGAAAGTCATCTGTAAAATTCATTCGATTCCTTATCTCGGGATACAGTTTCACTTTCATTCAACGTACCAATCCTACGGGAAACAGTAGACAGGACGAGATCTAAACACCCATAAAACTACAAGGGAAATAGTAAAAGAGCGATCTACGATGGTCATTAAGATGCTGACTTAAAGGAAAGTAAAGCGGAGGCGGTCTAAACGATGGCATTTCATAGAACACTTATCCCAGCCATAAGCACGTGATTACCCTTCATAAACAAAATTGAAGGTTGGCCCCCCACTCTCTCTCCACTTTTTTTCCTCCGAAAAATGGGATAAAAAAGGGCCAAAATCTGGGCTTCGTGGCTAAAGTTGGTTAGTGGGGTGCGCGTGGCGGTGGTGGGTTTGTCAGTTGGGCAGAGTTGTGGTGAAAGTGATGCCAGTATTTCTATTCTCCTTGTGGAAAATTAAAAAAAAAAACATACATTTAAGCAAAGGCATGATTGTTGCTGTTTTTGTGCCAAATAGTAGTGCCGAGGTGTGATGCCGTCGGACAGAAGTCAGGTTACTTTTGAGGTTGGACAGCTTTTTATTGGTTCTTGGCCTTGATGCTTCCTTCACCAAACACAATCACAGGCTACAACAGGTGCCTTTTCTGACACAATTTGGCGGTAAAAATGTGTGAATACATTGGCCAAGAAGAAGACTTGATGCAAGTATTTTTGCCAAAGAATAGGTTGACAGTTTTCGAAATTTGGTCCAATGACTGAATGTTGGGGTTTTGTCTCCTAATATATCTTCACCGAACTTATTTGTAATGCTTTTGTTAGTTTTTTAGCTCTTCAATCGGATAATGAGGGATCACGGAAGTGCTGCTCGCCGGTGTGGTCTTCAAGAGGGCTCCAGACTGCTCTATAAGTCATTCACCGAATCTTGCACTCACTCAGTAAATACCGATTCAAATCCATAATTTCTTTCAGCTTCTAGTCGGAGGCACTCATGTTTTCGGATGAAGCATCCTAACCTACCTAAAATTATTTCCGCAGGATCCAATTTCAATGTCCAACGACTCTTCAACTCACACGTGTTTTTTTAAAGGAGGTTCAAGGCTTCCACCATGATAAATGGGATCATTGTTGCCGATTAGTGAGACTCACTTTGAGTGTGAAACACTCAACTGTTTTGATAGGATTTTCCATAAAACTGTCGACTCGTCGCCAACACTTGTGCGGACTTCTCCTTACTATTAAGCCTTCTTCAACAACTGAAGCCACAAATGCATGTTTAAGCCTATAAGACGTGATAGTTTAGGCAGCATGCCAAGAGCAGATGCAGCTGGCTAGTCAACTTTAGTCACACGGAGTGAATGTTGAGTGATAGGGTGCCTTGGCAAGAGGAGGACACACAGGCGACCCCATAATCTCGCCAAATCCCTTATCCTTCTCTCTAATTTCCCAATTTAGTTGTAAAGCTACTCTGAGGCTGTAAAAAAACTTCCTCAAGATGTTGAAAAAGATGGAAACACTTTGTGACTACCACTTGGCTTCGCTATGAGGTGATTTGATAGACTCAGTGGAAAAGAAGGACGAAATTTACCTGCTCCGAGCTCTCTTCGGTCCTCACACTGTCATCTGTTGTTCTTCCCATACCAGAGTCCTGATCCTAAAATGAAGCAAACCAAATAGTGGATTTCCTTCTCTTCCATTCTCCCTTCCTTCCTCTTGACACCAACGATGACGAATGTTGATTTGTTTACTTCTACCACAGCAGTTTGTGTACAACGCATGATTCTGACAGTTTCGGAACCTATTTAAGGAAAAACTTTTGACGAGACAAAGTGTGTTGATGCTCCATGAACTAAGCGCCTCTCGACATCAAGCGGGAGCCTGTTGAGCTGATATCCGCTTGCGGTTTTGAAAGGAGGTGATGAGGATATCAATGCCTTGCCATTAGTCAAAATCGGCATAAATGCCACAATATTTTTTGCAAAATAAATTCTCAGAGGTAATAAAAATGCCACCACTGATAATTAGCGTCATTGAAATTTGTGTTAAATGAAGGGTTTGGCTGACACCAATGCCACTGTGAGAATTTTGCATAAATTTATTCAGGTTTATGTAGTCACAGGTGGCTCTGGCCTTACGATTGTCTTGTCACACCTCACAACACCTTGACTCAGGCGTTAACTGGGTTGCGCCGGAAACGAATGGGCGTGTTGATGGAGGAGGTGGCTCTCGACTCCTCTGCAATTTGCAATTTTCTTATTTTCAAGTTTAACATGTCCGTACACATACTCATACAAAGTAGTGTGCCAGCAACTTCGTCCAGACGTGTTCTCCGAAGTACTGACGCCAGCGCACACCTTGGCACCTGTCAACACTGCGACGAGAGCACCCCGACTACTGAGTCAGGCAGTGACAGCTTTCATTACTAACACTGGCGACTCACCTTAACCACGTTGTAGTTATGAAGCCACATGGAAGAAAACTCTCCCAGCATGCAGCTCCATAACGATGTGCTGTGTGCTGATACGACCGAAAATGGGTTAACGCTTGAAAGCACCATTGCCGAGATGCTATAAATAACTCCAAAACATTCACTTACATCCTACTCGAGCAGGGACTAGTCGATTCAGTACTGTCACTAAAGTTCAACCACACTGTCAACCATCTATGACTCCTTCTTCCATCCTGATTGATGCTTTATAGAGCAATCTCGATCAGTGGTGCATTAATTTCAAGTCACTCCTTTGCAGCCTCCAATGGTACTGCACATTTTTGACCACAAGACAAGTTTTACACTTAAAAATGCACATTGTCAAGACTATCTTAGAGTAACAGACTTCAAAGGCACTTTCATAAACAAAATTTTCAATTTTTTGCAGGTTGGCTGAGTCATCCATAATGCTATTCCCGGCGTTATGGTCTAGACAAGCGACAATGCCTACTTTTCAAACCAAGGGCAACAGATGAACTTCCAAAAAATGCCATAGCAAGAGCACTTTGTTTTTTTTTTGCATCGGAAATTGTCATCAAAGACTGCACAAACAAAAGATTAATGTCGAATTTTTAATGTGTTTATCTGAGAGCAGTTTGATCGTAAACATTACTGACTTGGACACTTGACATGATAATCTACTTTGGAGTTCACAGCCAACTTGTGCGAGTTCACAAAGTCCTGATAACTCACCGGTAAGTGAGCATAGGCGGCATTGGTGATACCGATGTCAAGAGTTGAATCGGGGTAGGGATGAGTGGGGTAGGAAGGCTGTAGACGACCCGACGGTTGTTTCCACAATGCTTGTCTCATGAGGGTGATCTTGGCACAGAGTCCACAGCCTTGAAAGAGATCCATCACGTGCTCCCGTGAGGTGATCTCCTGATCTCCGATTTTCACCACCCGATCACCCAACATGATTTGACCGCATCGATGAGCCACGCTTCCAGGCTCGATCTGCAAGGAGGACAAAAGCGTTTTTGTTGCACCACCAGCCAAGCTCGAGGTTTAAATTTCCTTCTGATTATTCATCGAAATAGATGGATGGTTTTAGATCCTTACGCCTCCAGTATTTATCATTGCGACAACTGTTTTCATGGCCTGTACAAACTGTGCAAAAAGGATGCCACCAGCATCACGCATAAATGCTAAGGAGACTTTTTATCATCATGAAAATTCCTAATTCCTGTTTACGTACACGTTGTCCTGGAAGAGCAAAACATCTCATAAAAGTGTCAGCAATTCTCCTCATCCCTCGGCTCCATTCACCCACTTCTCATCCACATTATTATTTAATTCATCGGAAAAAAAAGTGTAATTTGACATTGTAACACTTTTCTAACGAAGCCTTGCAGTCCAGCCAGTAGGGGCTGCTGTGCCATCGAGACACCAGTTGAGTGTACTTTTCGTCACCTTTCCAGTCCAGACTGTTCGCCCTCAAGTGAAGTGCAGATATCAGTGAGAAAGTGGAGGCGTGTGTGTGTGTGTGTGTGTTTTGACAGCAATGGCGAACATGGTAATCACTCATCGCCTGAAATTGTTTTAACTTAGCACTACAAGGAAGCAATAAAAATACCTTCACCAATAAAATGGGCAAAATTGCCGGTCATCCGAAAACAATGCCTGCACGTGTGAATTTACGCACATTCAATCATCGTAAAGTTATGAAAGTGAATTTTTGATTCACTTTTGAATGAATTCGCGTGCAGACACGCAGTAATAAACACAATAGAGGGGAGGTGGATGATGAAAACTTTTGACAAATTTATTTTCTCCACCACTTTATGGTCGCGTTTGGCGACGATAGGAAAATAAAACAAGAAAATATTTTCTGCCACTACCAAGGCACTAAAGTGTGGGGCTTTCTGACCGAGTTGCTCTTGCATGCAATGCCCAAAGAGGCGAGAAGGGTGGCAGGGGGAGGAGGGGGTAAAGAGAGGTTATTTTTAAGGGAGTAGTTTTGGAAAGCCCTCTTCGCTATCAAGATGGCATCTTCATTGGTCCTGGAGTGCACACTGCCTTAGGCTTAGAAATGAATCGAGAAAAACAGAAAAGAGAGAGGAGGGAGTAGAGGCGAATGGGAAATGTCGGTAGAGGGAGAAAGCGGGACGGAAATGAGAGAGAGATGCGGGTGGGGACGCGAAACGCCAAGTGCGATTTTCTAAAGGTTAAATGAGTCACTTAGGTGCGCCAGTTTGGCATTTGCATTGCTCGAAGTGTGTTTCTCTCGAAGCCTTTTCTTCTCTACCGGATACCAGAAACTGGGTCCGTCACTCATTCCTTTAACCACCCAATCATTCACTCTTCCTGATTGCATGCCTGATAAACATTATCTATTTGTTTGCCTTCTTTCCCCTCCTGACTCCAGCCATCACAGACCGTAACGCTTGACTTAGCTGATGAACTGTTTGGAGGTTTTTTGATGCCTTGCACACTTAAAACGCAATAAACGGGGAGGGTGAAAGACGTAGGCCCATAACTTATGGACAGCGTGTCAGTGGGACACACACGTGGTTAGCTTTTTCTCAATTACCAGGCAAATCATTAGTTGATAATCTCACAACCTCTCCTTCGACCGAGAAGTTGAATCTTTACTTGTGGATTGATTTAGTCCCTTCATCATGTAAGTGATCAGTCACGAGGGAAACTCTGTCTAGGTGGGGTCAATTTCAACATGAAAGTGTTAAAGGACAATATCTTCACAAACAGCCCCATTTCTGGTTCGCAACCTGTCTTGAATGCTTCCAATAACCTTACAAAAAGAGACATATTTGCATTTTCCAAAGGCGATGAGCTAGAAAGAAACGAGTGACCATTAGAAACCAGTGATGGCAAGGAACACTCATTAAAAATCCCTTATAAATAAACCTGAATTCCAATTTCGGTAGCAACGGTGAAATAGGCGAGAGATTCGATTCATTAAACTAGAATGCTCACTTTTGACTTGCAGTCCATTGATCTTCCACCCGTCTCACCACTGACTTTGAGTTAGTTAATGGACGTGATGGCCTTGAAGCCCCCTGAGAAATGAGTCACGATCCCCCGCATAAATCTCCCTCCCCTTCAACAAAATGCGACTTAAAGGTGTCTCATTCTTCATTCATTAATAACCTACGTAAATTCCAACGCAAATTCAGTCTAGCAAAGCTCTCTTGCCTAAGGTAATAACCTAAAGAATGCCTCATTCCAGACATCACCATTGCCTGATGTATCAAACTATTAAAAAGGCTGTTAACTTTGCCTCACCACCTAGGGCGTGCTAATGACGCTACGAGGTGCAAATGAGTGATGCCTTCACTTCAGCTAAGCTAATATTAATTCACCCTGATTAATGTCGACAGAGGTCGGGCATGCATCATTGTCAGGTCAAGTGCCTCCATAATTCATTCGCCCCAGGAGCTAGTAGTGTCCCAGGGGGCACAGGAATGACTCAGGGAAGGTCAGAGAGGAAAGGTGGAAAGCTTTAAAATCTGTCCCATTGGCGGAGGACACAGATTGGCGAGAGAGAGAGAGAGAGAGAGAGAGAGCAAGCCTGTTCCTTAAATAAGTAATGCTGCCTCTGGGTGTGACTACCATGGCACCGCCCAGAGAAGTGAATTTATAGCTCAAGGCGCGTACTGGATACACGATTTCTGTCGTGAAAACAGAAAACCATTAAGATGTAAGAAATTATGGGCCTCTATGGGTACTGATCCACCCAGACACGTACAATCACGCGTCTGGTTTGCGTGGAGAGTCAGGCGGGAGGAACGATTTGGGAAAGAGGAAGAGGAGGAGGAGGAGGAGGAGGAGGAGGAGGAGGAAGCATGACTCATTTCCCGCTTGTTCCGAAGACCGCTCCCTCTCTTGTGTTTGTATGCGTGCATTTGTGTTTGTGTGACGCGTCGGTTCCCTCACCCTAAGTGACTCACACAATCACAAACGCAGTCAAAGTAGAGAGGAAGAGAGAGAGAGAGAGAGAGAGAGCTGACAACTGTTCAACATTGGGATGCTAATCATTCGGCCCATTCACCAGAACATTTGACCCCCACCCCTATTCACTGTACCGCCCCGCCTTGCCGCCAGTGCAGTCACCACCATAGCTACATTCCAGGATGGAGAGACAATTTGTGATTGCTGCTCAGCTATTGATGGTTAAATCATGTGTCTGTATGTGTGAGTGTGTCAACTTGTAATTATGCAAATTACCTCTCACCGCCTTCTCAAATGTCAATGCTGATGCTGTGCCTCGGCACCCTCCAACCACGCGCACACACATGCAAACACAACCATGTACAGGTGATGTGTTGTTTACACGGTAAACACGAGCCTAGATCGTGGTGCTTTGTCTACGAAAATGTAAACAGTCTTTGAGAGCGGTAGCGGTGCTGTCTATATGACCATGCTTTCCACTAGGTGGTACAGCGCCATACAAATTGAACAACTCACCTCGCTGATATAGACCTCTGTAAAATTCTGTTGAACATCACTGGGTCGATAGCACAGGGTTAGTCCGAACTTATCCGAGGTCGACTGTTTTTGTAGAATCACCTCCTAAAAGGATGACGATGGACTGGCATAGACAAAGTCATGACCACGTTCATTTTGACGCCTAGGAAGTGTCTGATCTAACCGCTGGAATTCAACAGAACTTAGAAATTTAACGAAAACCTTCCTCATTTTATTACAGGCAATGTGGAATAAGAAGGAGTGAAGTTGCTACTGGCAGATGGATAGTACTTTATCCTAACTACCGCCAATCAATCAACAACTCTTTTTTGTCCAACTTAGGAGATGTGGAGTTTAAAGGCCACACCTCCATCAATTTATGCCAAGGTGCACCATGAAAAGGGTGGAGATGTTTGTTTTCCTTCCCAACTGCCAAGCTTCATAGAGCGGATTTATGATACAAAGAACATTTTTAAGGCGAAGTTTACGCATTCACCAGGACTGTTGCACATCATCAGAATTGCTAAAACGATTAATCACGAGAATCTTCACCTCAACAAGGCAGTCATGTTGCCTGAATGGCTAAAAACTTGGCCATCCGTTTTTGTGCTAACCTGTCTATACGATTTTGACCTTTCCACTTTACTTACACTCGGTCTGTCTGGCTGATGTTTTGAGAGATGTTTCTGGTGGGTTAAAAGCCTAAACGGCATTTCTCGAGACCACCTCAACGTCTTAAGAGGCTATACACGTACAAAGCACTTCTCGGATGCGCCGGTTGTATAATCACCAGTAGGCAAGTTACCAGAAGCGGAGGAGGAGGAGGCAGGGTTTTCTGGAAAGTTAGCGTAGACAGAGTCAATTGGTTGTGCAAAGGCATGGGGGTGACAGAAGGACGGTAGAACGCCATTTGTGCTACAAGGATACTGTTTGAGGATGTAATCGAGGCATCCGACTTCATCGACACCAAATACAGCATCATCGACATCCTCAGCATTTCCTTCCTCCTCATCTTCTTCATCCAAGCCATCCTCATCCTCCACTCCGTCGCCAGCACCGGAGACTCCAAGTAGGTAGTCTGTTGAATGCTTTCCTGGCCTAAGGAAGCAAATTAGAGGTGATTTATTGCACCATATGCATAGCAGGCATGACAGCATCTTGATTAGACCGGGATGTGTATTCGCACACCCACACCCAGTGACCTTTAGTTGCTCGGTATCCCACGTAATGCACAAACCCCTGAGGTGTCAGAAAGAAAGGTTATCATGGGAGGCATTTACGCAACACGATGCAGCAACGCCAGTGTTGGATGGCATTAGGCGTGTTCACCCCCTACTACTAGATACGCAATTCTCTCGGCACACACAAACGCAAAATCCGGCCTGCATTCTCTGCTTTAGCCGTAACAGCCGTAGCTATAGTTTCACGGCTGTAAAGAAAGTCAGCGTTTTTATTTAGTCTAGCAGCGCTTTGGAACAACATTCCGGAAAAAAAAGACATAAATTAACTTAAATCTCTCTCCTTCATTTGATTGGCGGAAATTTCAAAGGATCAATTACTTACGAATCATTCCCAACACTGCAAAAGAGGGACGCCAAAAGACGTCATTGACGCTTTTACTTTGAAGGACCAAAGGCTATGGACGCATTTTAACTGTACCAGTGGAGTCACAATGCATCGCTTGATAGAACAGAGGGAGAGGAATGAGTATCGCAGGCATGCCCAAACGGTAGATTACGTTAGATAATGTGATGAAAAACAAGGCAGCAGTGAATGTTGAGTTTTTGCTTTCACTGCATGTGGATGATGCTGCGATGTACCGTAGAAATAGGAGTCTTAAGCCTGCATTCCAACAGGCCGTGGATACAAGATTAGCATCAAATTATGCGTTCAATCTACTACAGTGAAACAAGATAGGTCCAGCATAACAGGGTCAGCCTCATGGAAATGAGGCGAAATCTTAACGCTCATGTTTACATTTGCATAGGGCGATGAGAGGGGTCAGGTGACTCATGCAGGGCTTAAAGACCATTTTGAGTGGTTTAATGCTTCATATGCTGGGCTTGCTAACATGATCATAAATGGATGATTGGAAGAAGGGGCATTTGAGGGTATCAGCGAATTATTTCAATTGAGAGCGTTGCTACGGTATTGTAGTCATGGCAGCCATTGCTTGTACTTGAATGTCAAAGTGCAGGAAGTATGGAAAGTCTTGGGTGAATTAAAAGTCATTCAAGATGGGCGGAAAGGTTCAGGCACTAGAGTAGAGTTGAGCCCTGGGGATAGCTGGAAGCTGAAGAATTCATAAGGGGGTGTTGGTACTTCTCGTAAAACTGTTGATTTAACAGAAAACTATATTCATGAGGCCTAAGAACACATATGGGACAACCACACGATCCAATTTTAGATGTCGTCAATTGAGAGTCAGGATGACAAGCATTAAGAACACTTGGACAAAGAATACATAACTTGGCAAATGGAATCCGAATTTAGTAAGTTCTCTTCAGGTAAAGCTGGAGTAGTGAAAATTAAGGTTGGACTAAGCTAGAGAGAAGCGTAAACTCAGCGCGTCAACGAAATTTACATCAAAAAGAAGAAGACATGCTAGCCACATACACATCATAGGAAGCAGGTTCACCAAGCAGTGCCATTCGCGCCTCCTGTTGAGCAAAAGAAGCCGCCGCAATTGCCAATGATGCAGCCATTTCGCCTGCACTAAAGACGGTTTGAACTGCAACGGAACGAGTGGAACCGCTTCCGCTAGCGATACCGCGTCGGCTCGAGAGGACACTGCTCATCTCGCTATTGGAGTCGCCGACTCCTGGTCCACTACCACTACCGCACAGCCCTCCGCCCCCGCCAACCAGAGGAGTGGGAAAAGCGGGAGGGGAGGTGGTGGATGATGGTTGGGGTCGTCGCATCACCTCCACCACGATGATGGGATCAGGGGCGCGCTGAAAGACTTCCATAGCCTCCTCGTGGCTACAGTTCTGAACATCCTCTCCATTCACCTGTAAGGCAGTGGGAAAAGTAACCTTAAGAAGGCCGAATTCTGTGTACAAATGAGTTACCAAAACCGTAGTGACAACGAGACTCGACAATTCCTTCCAAATGTCTCCAATGAAGGCACATTCACTTCAGCAGGCACATTGATAAGGATCCTTTCACACTCCATTTTAAAATAGGACAAAACTTTACCCACCTTTTTTTCGCAAGCACTTGATAATTTGCATTAAAGTAAGAGACTGGACACCGGACTGTTTGGACGGCCCTAACTGACTATCAAGTTAAAAATGTAAAATATGCGTTTACCATGCGAGGTAGGACACGTTGCAAAACAGCTAATATGGACTTAGATGATGAAAAGGATGCTGTTTTTAGGTCGGAATCGGTAAAACCACCTACTGCCGGCTGGTGTCGGATAAGCGACATGCACCACTATGATGCTCGATCGCTCTCTGAGGTAATGGCAAAAAGGGAGAAAATACTCTCGCGTTGTTTTCCTGATTTATGAGTCCCCAAAGAAGGGAGTGATTTAATGTATGAGTCATGGGGAGAGAGCCAGAGAGGACAGTGGTGGTGGTGGTGGTGATGCTAAAGGGGGGAGGGAGCGGAGGGAAGCATAAATATCCATTTTTTTCTTTGTTGCAGTAATTTATGCTAAAATTCCAATTTAATTTAAGGCAAAATTAATGGAAATTCCAGAGAGAGCACAACTGAGATTTTCAGAACGTGGACGTTAATGCTTTCCCCCATTTACTGATCAAGGAAAGCTGCCTTCAGAAGGCAACGGAATGTTCCCATATCGAATGCTATCACTAGCTTGCGACTTCGTTTTCCTTGAATGCTTCTGATGTGACGGAAGGTTTCTAGAACCGACTTTGATAGGATGCCTTCATAGGCGGTTTCAGAAGAAAAGTGATGTGGATGCGATGAGTTTCATGGAGGAGAATATGACTATTGAAATCATTTAAAAGAAGGCAACCTTTTTTCCTTATTCTTCCCCGTAACTGATTGGGTTAGAATATAAATTATGTTTATACTAATAGCCTCGCAGCTATTCAACTTAAAGCACCCCCACTCTAAGGAAATAATTTACTTGTCTCCATCTGAACTACCTCTCAGATGATTAATTCCTCCTCCTGAATGCTTGAATGCATCTCCTTCCCCACCTTTTCTGCCACAGGCTGTGATGAGGGGTGATGGGAGGGTGGGGGGGGGGGACTGGGCAAGGGAACACATGGACCGCGTTGAACGCGAAAATACGTGACTCACTAAACCATCCATTCACACACACACACACACAGAAGCACATTCAGCCTTGATGCAATGCCGCTCCTGTAATCCAACATCTTCATCCACCTGTTGATTGCAGAAAATCGAGACGCTACTATCGGCATCATGAAAGATAGTGGGTGGTTTGTCCCGCACTTGTTTGCGTATGTTGCCCAGGTTGGGACAGTGAAGTGAAGAGTAGAGAGTAAGGCCAAGGCGTCAATACATATGACCTTTTCAGTAACTCTGGCGCCTGTACTTTTTTTGCCAGACAGATGGGACAAACACCACCTCCTGATTGATTGATAGACTGTAAATACACCAACAACCAGAAACTGCGTTAATGCGGTAAACGCTGACTTGCAAATGGCAGCAGTGAGCCGACAAGTTATTGGGGGCATGAGCCAGTGATCACATGGAAAATTTTTTTTGGCTGGAGAGAGGGATGGCGAGAGAGAATAGGAAAGCGAGGTAAAAGCAAGACCTGATCAGATGTTTTTATTACCAAGCATGCCTCTGTAGCTCGCAGAGGTGGTAGTTGGTTGGATAAATGACTTATGGCAACCATTCATGCTGATTTCCAGGTCATGCATGAAGTCATGAATGGAGGTGGATGAACTTGGCTACTGAAAATCCACTTCTTGGAGGTGAGCGCAAATGAGTGGACAACTAAGGTGGTGGTCGCAGAATAAGAAATGGCTCCAAACGGTTCATTTGCCTTTCCAGAGTGTTTGATGAACTTAAAATAATTTCTATCTCTCCAAGCCCAGCCTGTGTCAATGAGGAAAATGACCGGAGATGGAAAACCGCTAATACCAAATGCATACAGCCCAAAGAGGGAGGGGAACAAAGGCTGCCTTTTGTGGGTAGAGACCTGATAAACCATTCCCGACTTAAATGAATGAGAAAGAGTTGAAATGAGGTGTCAAGTCCTTTCAAATGTGTCGCTGCGGTAGGGCAGACTAAATTTGCATGAATGATAGATAGTCGGGCAACCTCATTCCACTTTTAGCTAAGGAGGAGGGCAACCTTTCCCCATCAAATTCTCATTCCGAATTTATTCGTCTCTTCAAATGTGAACTTAGCCAAGTGCACTCGAAAATGCAATTTACCACCGAGTAGTTCCGCCTCCTCCAACTGTTGATGACAGGTTATGACAGTTTGTGAGCTGCGCACGCATACCTCCAACAGACTGGGGCATAATTTAGTGCCTTCGCAAGACCCTAAGTAAAGACATATTTTATGAAGAATTAATGAAATTAAAAGAATGTTTAATGTAAGAGAAGAGTGCTATTTCTAGAGAACATTTGGAGAGTCGTCACATCATTGCCTCTTTGTCTGAACCCCAGAAAAGTGAGAGAATGGTTGACCTACTTCCGGGGGCGCTCAGTAAATAGAGGTGTGATTAATTCTCGACCTCGTAGACTTTGGCTACTGATGTGCAACTTATTTCTAAATAACTTTTAGAGAAGTCTTTTAAACTGTGGACGACCATATGCCAGTGAAAGGTAAAGTTAATGTAGGAGTTTGGAACTACTCGTGCTGCTAGCCGCTTGCCTTTACTGAGCGGAAGCTTATGTCCAGTCCGCCTATTTGTTTACCATCGCAGGAGTTGTTAAAGCCCTACAACAACAATAGTTCGGTTTGACTTCACCACCACTACCCCCAACTCCTCCTCCCCCTCCTCCTCTTCTTTCTTTGGCGAGCGAGGGCAAGAGCACACGTCCGCTAGCGTTGACTCATGTATACACACACTTTCCATCCGGAGTGAAGTGATAAATGAACATACAAGCACAAGCATACTTATCTGCATACCCACCCACACCTACCCTCAAACACACACACACACGCACAGAACTAGAGTTGGAGAACTTGAAAATTATTGCCTTCAAAAATCCCAGGTTTCCAATCTCTTGATTTTCCGATGGATTTAGGAAAACCCACACCAATCACCAAGTCGGATGCAGGATTTCCCATGACGATTAGCTAATTGTGTTCACTCCACATCGTGGTAAATGACGAGGCATTTTGAAGAGTCCAGAAGCGCTTAGTCACGTCTGCTTCATACCGTTCATGGCAGCATCGGTGATGAAAGTGAAAGCAACTAACACTGATTGCATAAAATAATGCGAATGACCGACAATGAGGCTGGTGTGGCCAACTTGATGAGACAACAAAGGCTTCACAAGATAGGCCTTTGGAACAAAAAAGGAGCTTTTGCTCTAATGTGGAGTGGATGAATCACTACTTTCCATGCCCAATGTAGACGCCAGACCGCATATTTTTCATGTAGTGCAATGACACTCGGGGTAAGCGAAATAGTGGTAAAACCACAAAATATTGAGTCCTTGTTTCCATTACAAGGACTGTAAACGAGTGTTTTGCGGAGAAGGTGGACCATCCACCTCCGCCGTAAACAATAGGATGACCTTTAGAGAGGGCATAAATCTGCATCCTAGGCGAAGATAACAGTGCCATCTCCTTCCAGAGACGACAATCCACCTTCTCGGAAGAGGAGAGTTGTCAAGTATGTTGCACGAAACAGGTGGATGAAAGAAAGTGGAATATAGTGCTGAGTTGATTTGAAGTGTACGAGAGTTTTCGAGGTTGGTCGCGGACAATTTTCGATGAATCATCGAACTACCCGAAAGAGGAAGCGACCTGTTTACAATTCTCGCTTATGGCCTTTTTGCGCACTGATGACTTTGAACTCAACTACATCATAGTGAAATCGCCTAAAAAGTGACCAGCAAGTTTTGAAAAATACACACAGAACAGTGGACCTGTCATGGCTGTGCACGTAGAGTGGAGGGAACGAGGAAGGGTGTAAGTCATAGTCCAACAATGCGCATGACTGACACTTCCAGATGCAAATGAGGCCCTACCTTTTACTCACTCATCCCTAGGTGCTTTGATCAGGCCACGATAACAAACGCGTTTGCCATCTGAACCTTTGCAGCCTAAACTTTTCCTAAGAGCACTGAGTAAAGATTGTAGCGGAATTAACGACAATGGCAAAAGGGTCCGCCGATGTGTGCACATGTGCAAAGAAAGCGGTTCATTTTGGCCCAAATGGGTGACAGGCTCCGTCGTCCTCTTCTTTCATTTTATCGAATTTTGAAGTTGTTGGGTGATGTGGCTCATCGTGGGAAGTGCCGCTGAAACTGCGTGAGCACGAGGATGGCCGCATTTTAAGGAGCAAAGCGGTAATTTTGTGATTGCTAATGGGCCCGTTTTAAAAAAAAAAGTGAAAGAAAAAGAAAAAAAATGCCAGGAGGGTCCTCTGAACCCGACTCCAGTAACATTGAGTTTGCTGTCAAACATTAAGAGCAATTAAAATGACAAACCTTGAGAATAATAAAATCCATGATTCCCGTCCCTTGATGATTTGTAATTATCCACTTGAGCGGGTCATCATCAGGTGAGGACAGCACAGCAAAGAGCAGCAAAGCACAGCACAGTACAGTTTACAAGTAGTGTTTCCTGCAAATGAACGACGTCTACTGCACAATATGATGATGCTGCTACTGATGCTGTTGATGATGCTGATGGTGGTGGTGACTATATTGAGAGGGCGGATGGGGGGATGAGAGGCGCGGTGAGGGGTTAGAGTGGATGGGTGACCAGATGCTTGATTTTCGCGCGAGTGCGCACAACACATACTCGCCACATGGTGGTGCATCCACCCACCCTACCGCCCGCTTGCCTGCGCATGGACGTGCGCATGCATTGCTTGGACGAGCCAATGGCGTGAGGGCATGGTGCGGACGTGCGCCCTCTGTGTGTGCATGCACGCGAAACAGGTGCGCGAATACACCCTCGAGCTCCTCCTAGCCAGATGCTTTCACTGCTTCTGCGGCAGCACAGACAACATCATCATCAGCATCAGTATCGTCACCATCTCCAATGCTGATAGCGGTGGTGGAGACGCAGCAAAAGCAACTGATTCAAAGCACAGCTAGTGTATCAATGACTAAGCAGTCTTCTGGCCGAGATCGGTTGTGATTTGCTGCATGTTTGTGTTAACACGAAAACAAGAGAAGTCCTGTTTTGCAACATGCTAGCTGCGGTTTAACTTAATCCGGGCTCCAATATTTTGGTCTGCTTTAATGACTGCAATACGCATTTTGGCGTGATGCATTGACTTCCTACAATGTCAAATGATAACCTAATAAAACGCAGTGGAGTGGTTTCGATAACTTTCGCCTGCCGACCTGCTCATACTTCAGTCGTGGACCTGTTGGCTAATTTACAAAGTATTCTAGCCTAATTAAACAACTTCCACACTGATGCACCATCTTACGGCTTCCGCAGAGGCGACTGACTTTGATGTCAGGAGAGAAAATCCAATTTATGCTAATTCTTCCGTCTTTGGAATCCACCGATGGCGACTTCAATGAAATCTACCATTTTGACACACTGCTTACACCCGAGCCTTCACATTAGGAACCTGATAGTTTGAACTTATTGGAAATTCATTGTACTTGTCAAATAGGCCCCTTATTTGCTCCTCCTTCCATCAGGTCTTAGCCAAGCTTCCTTGACTTTTGATGGAAAGCTTACTTCCAGACGGGTGTTTGTTTGTGTGGAGGTTTCTATTACAGCTTTCCGTAAATGATACTGTGCTTCTCAAAATTTACTTCTCACCAATTAACTTGAAGTCTAAGCTGATTCCTGCAAGCCAGAATCTATTGCTCCTGTTATATTCATCGAAAATAATCCCGACTACATAAAATCTGCTTATTGACTAGACATTACCAATTGAGTCTTCATCATTCCTTTCAGCATTTGTCATTAACTCTGACCCACTGCTACTGTTAAGTCGCTTTTATTTATCTACAAGTGGTTAGTTTCACACATAATGGTTGACCAGAGGCTTGAGTTTAGTCCAGTCCCCCTTGATTGGCCAAGGAGATCAGATGCGTTTTCCTGAATATTAATAATGACTTTAGCCATTTGCAAGAGACAATTTTGGATAGACTACATTCAGGCAAGGTAATGACATAGTGAAGTGAATATAAATGAGGTGTAAGCAGTGTGCCACAGCGCTCCACATTTCCCTGAATGCACAACGCACCAAGCGGATGAATGGCGGTGGGCATACCGCAAGTTTCATGCGGCTGTGATGTGGTGAAGTGTCCGCGCGGTCGGATGCATATGTCAAAAAATTGTGTGCTCCATTGCTCTAAGCTGCCTTGAAAAAGCATTTCAGACTGCAGCACCCATTCAAAACAGAAGGAGCACCCTTCATATCGCAAGTGCCATAAACCACTTTCGATATAAAAACGGTTCAGCCAGTGACACCAAGTTCATTCCTACAAACGCGTTTATCGTCCCCTCTCAAGTTTTAACCTTTGAAAAGCGAGGTAAACTGGCGTTAACTGCTCAACAAGCGGGGCTTCTTCGTCCCGGATTTAACTTCCATGTTTGGGTTGCCTACCCCAGTTCACATTACAGCGTCATTACATTAGACTGCCAAGGTTATCAAACTTGTTTTGTTCTTCCAAAAGCCCATTTTGCACCTGCTCAGGAGAGCATACCAAATGGGTCATCTGCCTTGCGTCGCTTTAAACGGTATGCCAAAAAGAAACAGATGGTATCGAATGACAGCTAAAATGACCACGCATTATCATCAGGCATCAAGTGTAATCGAAGACATGAGGACGATTGGCATTGTTGAGTGAAGATTTACCATCGTCTTTCGGATAGCAGCAGAAACGGTGTACTTATAAGTTGAAAGTAACACAATTATTCCCATGCAAAACTACAATTTTACAAAGATTATTGTTGACAATTCATCTGCCATTCAAAATTCCCGAAAATGGTATGAGGCTTTAAAGCATTACTTTGTGTCTTGCTGTGTTTTCAAAGGCGACTTCGAAATCTAAAATGCTTGACTAAAAGGAAATAAACTACTGATGGAGTAAGAGCATTTTCTGCTGAAGAGCAACACCTTTTAGTTCTAAGCGTTCATCCCCAAGCATTTTACACAGAATCATGTCTTATGATGCCTTAAGATAGAAAAATGCGAGTGGTCTTTGAAAACCTGGCCTCTCCTGTGATTAGCACCCCATTAGACTAGATTTAAAGAAGGTAAAGACACTAAACACCTAAATTTCCCAACAACACTGCGCTTGTTGGATAAATCCTCTCGCCATTCTAACAAGCACTTATAAGGTAGAACTTAGCGGCTAAATTATCAATCACTGATTAGATGCTAGACACGCCCTTTCGACAGCCGGTGAGCCAATAAAATGGAGGCGAATGCGGACTAAAACCTGATTGGCCTGAAATTGACCAATGAACACCTAAAAAACCGAAAATCCCCACCTTGGTAGTAATGGCGGGCTACTGACAACGACGCTGAAAGAAACCTAAGACATGTTCAGTGTTATGAGTCGGTGACTGCCAGTTTCGTGCTAACCAGAACTCTGCTTTGCCAAATATACAGAGTATTTTATTAACAATCATAAAAAGAGGGCTAAATTCATGAATTTATAACTACCAGAGTTGAGTCTTGTGACGGTTACCTGTAAAAGGCGCTTTATCATATCCCATTTCAGCAGCTACCTTCTTTATTTCATCCATGGAGACGTTAAGTTTTTCGGCCTCCTTCCTCAACGTCTCCTCAAAGACGGCTTCAGCATGACTACTACGTCTATCGGCCCCATCGGTTTCAGCTAAATTAATACAACTCTCGCCATTGATGTGCTCCTTCGGAGGTGATGGTTTCCTTTGCAATTCAGTTGTGGTAACTCCACGCTTTAGAGCCTCAAGGCGTCCCACTCTCTCCAATTTTATCTGTTTTAGGGCCTTCAAACGAGCATCCACGCGGTCCCGGCACATGGAGAGCACCTGAGGAAAAAATGATTGTAAAACTAAATACTCTACCAGTTGATTTGTTAAAATGTTGTTAAAACTCAGCTAGATGTTAGTCTTAGAGCTTGAGATGTGCCATCTTCAAGTTGTTCATTTAAGTATTTTGCATGATTCAATTTGATCTCCAAATTTACACAAAGTAGAAACGAGAATTGCACAAATCGGTTTGTATAGAGGAAGTGTTATTAACGAAAAGTGATGAGAAATTGCATACGTCAGTGAGAAGTCTAATACGAGCATCTTCCAGGCATCTCCATTCCTGTTCCCTCTTTTTTGCCAATTCCGCCGCCTCCGAGCTGAATGAAAAAAAAATTTAAGTGAACAATTTGTGATTAGGTAAACTGCTAAAGGACGGAAGATTTTGTCCTTTACAACTTGACGAAAATCCGGCTTTATTGACTTTTGTAGAGGTCAAGATTGATAAAAAATGACTGTTCACAAGTGGCTAATCCTTAATAACAATTTGTTACAGTGCTAAAAGAATTAAAAGACTGTTAACGTCTGGTTCTCCTCCAAAATCACCCACATTGGCCCGCAGGTTTCATGAAGTCAAAAGATACTTACCAGCTGCATTAAGCAGCTCAGGAATTCCAAAGAATGAAGGTATTAAACAGTGATGAAACTAGATGGTTGAGTAATGCGTAACTAACAGAGAATAAACACTCTGTGATCCAAACTGGGCATCCACAAGACGCTACAAACATCGAAATGGTGTGTCGACGAGGATATCTTCAAAATTCCATTTAAACAAAATTGTGCAGCAAGGAGACACACTCACGCCAGCATGCCATCCATATCGTTTTCTCGTCGCTCCTCATGGCGCAGTTCTTCTTTGAGCATTTCCTTAACGGTAATAAGACGACTTCTCAATCCCTCTCCTCTCTCATTCTCCTGCTCCTCGCCCACAAGGGCAAGCAGGCTATCAATGTAAGCTAAATCGGCGGTAATTTCCGTTTGCACCTGGCGAGAACGTCGAATCAGCGCTGTAGAGTGCTGTCGAAGAGTTACCTTCTCGAAGCGTCGCTGAAGCCGTGCCTCATCAGTCTTCCGCCTCTCCGTTTCTAACCCTTGGAGGAGTCTCTGCTGTTTCAAGATCTCCTTTTCGATTTCCTCTAATTCCTCGTTCTAGGAATAAAATGGGAAAATTGGAAAAGTGGTGGATATCTATATTGACGTTATTTCGCCATCTTTCGTAAACCCGGAATAAAACAAGGAAGCCCAGAATATATGGATAAAAATGTTGAAAGGGACTGAGTTACAAATATTACGAAACCCATAACTCTGAACGTTTAAGATAATATAAAAACCTTAGCAAACTTCTCAATAATTTTCGTAAATCATTACGCATAAACGAAATACGACGAAATGGACCAACATAATTAATTAGGAACAAAGACCTCTCTTTCAAATTGCCTTAACTCGTCCGTTTTACGTTGCAATGCGATATCGCGTTGATGTTCGTTGGATTTATGGCTGTCATAAACCACAGTTTTTGATTCAACTGCGTCAGAGGCCTCACTGTCACTTATCTAAAATAATCCAAATCGTACGCACACAAAATGCCTTAGGACTAATTGTACACAGTTATTACTTTAATGTCAGAAAGCATCAAAACATAAACTGTAACATTGAACACATCAAGAAAATCAACTAAAAACTAACCATCAAAGCAAAGAGTACCAATGACTCACTGTATTTTTATCTTGAGCATTCACTGTGTCTGATTTCTTCTCATCTCTGATGTACGAACTGGTAATAAGTGATCGTTCAGGGGACATTTGTTCATTCTAGTCACTTAGATAAAAATTAACAGGACTACATTCATTGTCGTGCACTCATTTTTATGGGATAGTTCATTGATCTGAGCTCCCAGAGTTGCGTGCACGCGGTCTCTTGTTCTTGGTGACTGATTTATGGCTTTCTTGATAAGAATGTACGAAAAACATCATGAGATACCTCATAAAAGTCCGCCTCTTTTTGCAATAGGGACCTAAGTTTACTTTTTCGGGCCTCCAGGTTATTCAATACCGCCTCCTTATCAGGTAAAAGATAGGCCATCATGCTAAAAGTACTTAATGTCAACCATATTTTAAGTTATACCTATTATTAAAGGAAGATTCTGAAGTCCAGCGTTTTTCCTGGCGTGCTCTCACATCGGAATCCTGAAAGAACTTTTTATTTTCTACTTGATCACATTGCTTCTTAGCTTCAGCCATCCTTTGCCGATGCATAATGGCTTCATAAATATTTTTAGTTCGAATATTTGGCATCATCCTCGTGCGTTCAAACTAATGCTTGCCAGGTTACCATGGTATACAACGCACTGTTAAACACTGCATCATGCACGATATTATAATCTAATAACACATCGAAACTCATTTCGTAAAAAGGAAAGCGGATTTAATTCCACAACAATATAACGGCTGCCTTGACCAGGAATATAAAATATTTTGCTGCAAATTTTGCTAGCGCAACAAAATTTACTTTGTTAAGGAAAATACCGACCTAGTTTAATGCACATTCAGCCTAGTGAATTTAGTTTAATAAAATAATAAAAGCCGGGTAACCATTGCGATAAAAGAGAGACAAGATAAAGGATGGGTTGCAGAACGGCGCTAAAGATGCTGTCATCGTTCATGCATTTACTGAAATGCAACAACGAATCCTCTACATTTGTACAATAATCGGCCTGCCCTACAGCATTTCGCTTGATTTTTCGCTCAACATCGGCCTTTTGTTTAACCCGACAAATATTCTTTGTCTGTTTCCGAAGTGTGTTCTTTGTTAGTGATGGACAAGCTAGCTAGTGTGTTTTCGGTTTTAAGGTTAGCAATGTTTTGTTCGTCTATATTTCTGTTGTATTTCACAGGCTTGGCAATATTAAATGCTGTTGTCGATCCGTAGCAGTTGAGTCTCGAAAACCTGTTTTCTCTGTATATGTCAAAACGCATTTTAACGAGGTGAAGAGCAAGCATCCAATTATGAAGGCAACTGAAATAATGAAGAAGCTCAGCGAAATGTACAGGGTTGCTTCTCCTTCCGAGTTGGCCAAGTTGGCGCTGAGTGCTTCCACGATTAGACTAAAGACTGAAGAGGAGAGGTTGGAGAGTCGGAAAAAGTTGTTGGTACTTATTTCAAAATCTTATCTCTAGCATATTTGTTTTATTTATGCATTACTTGAATCGCACGATTGATTGTTTCTTTTTTATCGGTATAGCTTCCACGCTTAGATCACGTCATTGACTGCTGTTTTTGGTCTTCTCTTATAACCTATACAAGCATTTAAGCTGTCATAACAGGTTCGCATTCTTTTTAATTTTTGTGAATGAGAAAAGAGAGGCTATGTCTTGGGGCTCTGTTATTCTCTCGCAATATGTGCTTAGACCTCGTTGTGACTTTTAAAAGTACTCAGAATAGGCCGCTGTCAACAAGATTGCGCTATGTTGTCTTTGTAGTTTGCGAGGAAGCATGGTCTGCCGAAACCGCCGCCAACTACAGGATACCACGTCTACCTTCACGAACAGCTCTCTGGCAACAAGGTAGCCATGGTGCTCTCTGCATCTCCTTAAAATGACTTATGCCTTATCTCTGTCCCTGGATGAAGTATGACTTTGGTTTGAACAGGGATCAGCTCCCCAAGCCATGACTTCGAAGCTCTCTGCTGCCTCGAAATCCTGGATCAATCTTTCAGAGCGTAACAAAGAGGTGCGTTCTATCTCCTAGTCATCATTTTACTCATATTGTTTGGCTACTGCTAACGTTCGGCTGTTCTGCAACGAATCGACATACTCATATTCAATCAAGGCCTGTTAAGTGGCGTTTTTTCTCTACTTTGCTTTTTAGGCCTACATTAACCGAGCACTGGAGAATCGGCTGGCTCACCTGCGAGATCTAAAGGCCTGGTCAGAGAGTAATGGAATCCCGTTTTCGAAACGCACTACTGTCCTTGCCAGTCGTTTCTACGCTAAGCATCATCGGAAAGATGCTACCGACAAGACTGTCGCCGTTAAAGCATCCCAGAAGTAATTGGTGAAGGTCCTATTTTTGTATACCTTTATGCGTAAAATAAACCACACTAATAACTGTTAGCGCACTGTGATCCCTGGCAAGCTGACTTTGCTGAAAATCGCCTCGCAGTAATTTGATTAACTACTTTACGGTTGGTCGGCGAGGTCGATCCTCAGGATTGAAGTGGTTATTACCCAATTATCAGATGGTCCCAATAATCTTCCAAGCATTCCTATGCCTGCTTATTATCTATAGATTTGAAGTTATGCATATGTATAGTACTGGCTTTTTGTACGCATGAAGAGCATGCAAGGTGCCCTAAAGCTTTTAGGCTCATTAACAATGAAGGTCGAATTTTAATCCTTAAGTCCGATTTTCCGCTCCGGTTATGCACCAGTCTTTCCGGATTCACTGATGGAAATATGAGATTTTTGCAAAACTCCCAAAGGAGAACATTTTCCTCCGTCTTTTCAGGTTTGGGTATACTCTCCAAGTGCTTGGGTTCATGTTCACAGTGGTGTCAACCGAGGCTGCACGGTCTACAGCGTAATGTTGCGAAGTGCACCTCTTATGGCGGATGTCTGCATCTGATCATCCTGAAATGTTAGCACCGTGTTCAATCGCACCCTATCAAATTGTTTATTGCTTGAAGCGGTTTGTAGATCTGACAGTTTTATTGAAATCATCATCATCGGACGCTGTTGTGGCACACAGAGGATGTTGCTACTAACGTCATGTTAGATTCAACTATTTCACATCAAAATTTCATTCCAGTAGTTTCAACTGTTTTATCGTTCCTTTCAGAACCTGATATTATAATACGGTTTTGCCATCGTGAATATCTCGGTCTAGGTTTGCTTTCCACCATGGAATTCATTAGTGCAACTCGAAGACCTGCTTACCTAAGTTTTTTTATAGATGTCATGAACGAGGGAGCTGTCATGAAAGTAGCAATGTTTAATTTATGTAAACACCTCTGTCTACCTTTTGCGACGTAGGTGAAGCTTGGATCTTCTCTAAACATCCATAAAACTGCTTCACTGATGTACCTCTAACCAATTGAAGTACTGAGAATGCTGCGCTTGAAGGCACCACATTCGACGTTTTCTTGACCAAATGACCAATCGAGAACCTTCAAATCTGCAGCTGGATAGTCGATTTCACACGCTTTATGTTTTCTTTCCCTCCTCGGGGCTACTGCGATCGCAGTTTGAAAGCGCCGTGTTTGGCACATGTAGGTCTTTATTGCTAGCAAGGTCTGATTGCGTTTTCTACTGGCTCCTCAAATCTTACCGCTTCGGAGATACGGTTGATCTGTAGATGCATCGCTCTGTCACCTTTTTTGAGAGTACGCAATTGGACGTTCTCCCTGTTGTTACACATTTGTCAATCCACATCTCAACTCCTGTAAGTAAATTAGTATGGTGGTTGGTTGAAGGGCACATTGGTAAGAAGTCAAGGCTTGCATGCATCTCTCTAGTCCATGTAAATCTTCACCTGATAGAACGTTTACTTCGAACAGCTGTTCAAGTCTGAGAGCGAGGAGCTTAGATCGGAGACGTGAACAAAAAATGATCCTGAGGCTACCATCCGTTAATCGGCCTCGAGACATCACCACGATCTAAGCGAGGTCTTTTCACCCACATCTGACTGATCTTATGATCGGTTCTATCTGCCGTCCAATTCAAAAGCGTTGAGCACGCATTCATCATGTCTGATGGATCAACATATGGTCACCTAGTCGGCTAACTGCATTTCGTGACAACCGTTGTACAGAGATAAGATCCCGTCTTGATGATAGTCATTCACCCTCGTCTAAATTGGGCTTCCCTTTTGACAAATTAAGGAATGGAATTAGTACAATTCTCTGCTCTCTGATGATCAGGTCTTACATTTGGATTGTTCGTCGCACGAGGTAATGGGAACTCCACACCCAACCGACGACGAGTTGAAGCAAGTTGGAGAGGTGAAATGGAATGCAGAAGTGTCATTTGTACAAAAATTGCGAACACGTCGTGAAATATATGGACTTAAGTGTAATTTTAAACTTTTGTACATTGCCGGCATTTCCTGTTAGACTAAGAATTATCACTTCATTTATAACGTCTGTAGAACTCCCAATCGGACTGGTTTTAAAGCAAACTATTGATGAAATTTCGTTAAGTAAATCATTACAAACCATAAAGGACATTTGAAGTCTCTTTGGTAGTGCTTATAAAAGATTTATTTGCCACTCCCTTTGGATGGAGCCGTTAAATAACAACCTAAGTGGTCCTAAGTCAAGGAACGTCGCATCTTCCTTGATTCGTGTGAAATTATTCGACGGGATTGCAATGTCGCTGTGGCTTCGAAGGAGGGTTTCTTTTTTTTTTTGAAGATGAATGAGGTTCACTAGCAGTGGTTAGTGCCTATGCGATGTTTTCAAAAGTTTCGTGTTTTTCTAAAATTATGGCACATGAAGGACATCATGGTGTGGCTTCATTCTAGCGATTTGTAAAAGAATCAAGGTTGGAACGAAAGTCAAGCTACTGATGCAATTAAGTAGCGCGTCTTTTACGGTATTGGTTAAGACGTCGCAGTGTCAACATCTTGGTAAACCCAACTGATCGAGGGTGGCATGAGGTGGCATAGGCCATTACCAACCAATTGTGCTTGAGTCTTCCAATCTACTGTCCACCTTTTCTCGCGACACCTGTGATGCCTCCCGTCAGGTGGGACGGAATGCTTCACAGTTTTGGAACACAGTGTGAGTTGCTACTACGCTTCTCAAACATCCGACACATTACTCTATTGCGTTAGCTCTACAAGTGGCACAATATGGATTTCACTTCCTTGAACCATGTAAGCATTCGGTGAATCCGTCTAGAGCGTTGACAGGAGGCACAAATGTTGTACCATCAGAGAAGTAGTGGCTGTTGTTATTGCCAATGCAACAAAGTGTGAGTGACATTTGGCTCAGATGGCGGTCCGGTTATCGACAAACTTCAAATGATGTGTAAAATATGGGTTGTCACCGGTTTGTACTACACCCACGTTGGATTGCGCACAAGTGTCAAGCATTTGGAAGGAATTTGGTTGTTACGCCTTCTCACGGCGTGCTTCAAATGCAAATGCACGCGTTTA